AATTGAGATTATTATCTCAGCTAGTACCAATTGAATTGCTTTTTACTAAGTCTGAGCTCCACCCCTGCATATAAAGAATGATAGTACCATTAAGAATAGAATGGAGACAATATGAAGCAGAACGATTATGATTAACATGGTAATAATAACGAAAAGATAGCATAAAATTATAAAGATAAAGAACGAAGCATAAAGTCATAAAAATTATAGCAATAGCAAGAATAATATACGAGAAATAATATGAGCATGATGGGATTATTAAGAATGATGCAATTCAGGAACATCATGCATGTAATATAAGAAATTGCTAAATTATCATTCTGTTAGATGTGTAATATGTGATGTTTCTTACCTTTTTGAGAGCCTCTGAATTAATTAGAGGACCCTGATCCACATTTGGCTGGGAGCCATCACCAAGCCGAAGGCGACTGACAGCGTCTGTCAGACGAGTGATAAAGTCATGGTACAACGAAGAATGCACAAACACCCGGTTGGCGCATACACAAGTCTGAATAATAATAAGGAGGTAAGTGAAAGTTCGCAGTGGGAAAATAGTTCAGAAGACGTGAAATAATGAATATAATTGGTTCAATGTAAGGCAGATAGGAGATGTTTAGGTTGCACTTGAAAGCTATGGAATCGTGGACAGCTCCCTCTAAGGGTACGAGTTGGCTTCAAAATTTTTCAAACTTTGAGAACAATTCTTGTACTCGAGTTCTGACCTTCCAGGGATGGTTCAGATGGTTCAGATGGCTCAGAGAAAAAAGGGAACGATATAGAACGAAAGTTCAAAGATTCTAGGGTTAAATTACAATACCAAATAAGGCTATATTTAGAGCTGAGAAATAGGTATCAAGTTGCCTAGCTGAACTCATTATATTCGTAAAGTATTTCCAGACCTAAGGATATTGTAAAATAAGGTTATTAATCAAGATTGATTTTCATAGCTTTATTGAAAACTCATTTAGCTAAAAAGAGAAGGAAATGAACACCTAATCTATATTACTAGCATTAAAAGAAACGTTTAAGTGCTGACTAATTCAGTAGGAGGGGACATAGAATAGATGAAATCATGCAGGCCCAGAAGTAGTAGGTTCGGACAAAACCCTGGGACAAACTCTTAGACCACAGAAAAGCTATGAATGAAGTACCTGATCTCTCTAGGCCATATCCTGGCAATGAGATTAAGGTTTATTTACAATTACTCGTGAATAATTTAAATATCCGTGTTCTGTAACAAAATAAGACAGTGTGTTTACATGCCAAGGAGCTTCAGTATTAGTCCTGGGATAACTGAGGGGACCAGCACATGCTTTATAGAGTGGAATACAAATACTAACCTGGCCTGAACAACGAAACTTCGAAGCCATTATAGCTGTGATAACCGTATCCATGTTGGCAGATTCAAAAACAATGAATGGGGCGTTCCCACCTAGCTCCAGAGTGGCGTGCTTCATGTATTTCGCAGCTTCAGCATATAAGAGCTGTGGATAAAAGAGGCAATGGTGGAGGAACAAAAGGAGATGTGGAATATGTTCAATGTTATCACTACCATTCCACTATGATTATAAGATAAGCTAATGTGAAGGGAGAATACTCAAGCGAAGAGTCAAATAGGAATAGGAGGAAACTAATACCCACCCGTCCGACTTGAGTAGAACCAGTGAAGGCGATGTGCCGAATGCGTGGGTCCGTG